CTTCCTAGTTTCATTCCCTCTTTCCACCTAGACACTAAAATTCAGATATTATCTTGTGAGAAAACTGAAAATTCTAGGAGATGAAAATAAAAACCAAAAGATATCTGCATTACTATTTTCTGATTTCTATTAGCACACTCTGTCAGTATCCCATTCCTCAGAGAACAGCCTTTTTGGGAGATGTCATTCTGTAATAATGTGTCTGATTGTTTTGAATAACGCACTGTTGGCCAATAGGGAAGCAAGATAGGTGGGACTAGGAGTCAAGGAGGATTCTGGGAAAGAGAGGCAGAGGGAGACATCATGTAGCCGCCAGAGGAGTAAGAGGTCTGGACCCTTTCTCCGGTAAGAGAAATACTTAGATTAACAATTATGAGTTAAATACTTAAGTCAGAGCTAGCCAGTAAGAAACCAAGCAAACAGCCAACAGCATCATAATTAATATAGTGTCCTGTGTGTTATTTGGGGACTGCAACTGTGACAGGGCCCAGGAGGATGGTGGGGAAGGCTACACTCTACAACAGCCAGTTTCACAATCTCATTCATGAAATTATTCACTTTTATCTCATTTTAGTTTTGAGAGTACTCCCTGCTCTCTGCCCCTTCATCAACTGCTATTACATGCAGAAATATTAATATACACAAAATAGAGATGTCCTATGATAGTTTTTTCTTTTTTTCTCTTCCTTTTTTTCTTTAAGTTAGAAACAAGTTTGTTTCACATGTCAATCACAGCTCCCTCTCCCTCCCTTCCTCCCCATCCCTTCCCACCAGGCCCACAATCCCCCACCCAATCTACACTCTCATCCCCAGGGAGGGTAAAACCCTCCATGGTGGCTCTCCAGAGTCTGTTATATCATCCAGGGTAGGGTCTAGGCCCTCCTTCGAGAGTCCAGGCTGAGAGAACATCCCTAATTGTGGGATGGGCACTCAAAGTCTATTTGTACTCCAGGGAAAATATTACCCAAGGCCCCCTAGATTATGTAGGCCTCCTAACTGACACCCACATTCATGGGGTCTGGGTCAGTCTCATGTTTTCCACACCGTCATCAGTCTGGGGTCTAAGAGCTTCTCCTTGTCAGGCCAACTGTTTCTGTGGGTTAAACCAGCCCAGTCTTAACTCCCTTTCCCATCAGTTTTCCCTTTCTGACACTGGATTCCAGGAGTTCAGTACAGTGTTTATCTGTGGGTATCTGCCTCTGCTTTTTTCAGTCACTGGAGAGAAATTACTTATGTGACAAGTCAAGAAAGTGGAGAACCAAAGGTCCACACACTGCTCTCCAGGCCACAACCAGAACCCAAAAGAGTCTCCTCTCCCTAGATCTTTTATCCCTTGAATGTTCGATGTACCTATAAACACACCCAAAAGGGCTTAGTCAGCACTATGGGTATGTAGACCTCTCCCTAGTCGTGCATATATGTATATGTATGTATATATGTATTTCTAAATATAACCTGTTTTATGTGTGCACTGCTACTAATATGCCCGCCTCCAGGGCTAACCACCTGGTCGTGGAATGATAGTTGCCCTGTTCCTCTCTGAGAAATACCATCCCTACTGCTCTCAGCTTTGCTCGGTTGCCTGCAGTTTCTTTGTATGCTAGAGGCATTCTGCGCTTAGAGTCCCTTTACAATAATCAAAGCTTTTCTCTGGCAAAGAATGATGGTGTACACTCCAGATGCAGAGGCAGGTGTGATCTATGAGTTCCTGGCCACTCTGGTCTACATAGTGAGTTCCAGACCATTCAGAGCTACATATAAGATCATCTTTCAAAATGTTCTTTTCTATTAGTAAGATCAGACAGTACCTTTTTACTCTAGAAGACCAAAGAGTGTTTATATTAACAATGTAATTCTGTGGGTTTCTGTTTCCTTCAATAGAAATGATAACCAATAGAATTAGTTCTCCATATCAAGGTATACAACAAACACAAACCGTAACATTGTTTACTGCTCAGAAATTATTTATAGAATCAGAAAGCTGAAATTAAAGAATTGACTCCTGCATTTACTCTATGACTATCCAAATAACTTAGTTTCTCAACCCTTCCTTAACAAGGTCATTTATGATATTCCCTATCTCATAAAAATATGAAAACTATAGAAATAAGAAAAAAAACATTCTTTGTAACTACGATTCACAATCCCTTATTATATCCTTATGCCTGTGACTTTTACATTATTTGTTTTGTTTTCTACCTAGTTTAATATCTCATTAATACATCATTACACTTTAAAAATATTTTTCAGATAATAAATGACTTTGTAGCTCAGGGACAATATCTGTGACTCAGACTGCCAAGCACTCTGATTATAGACATTCATTACAACACTTGGGCTATTCCCACTCATCTTACACACCTTGAAAATTGAAATTTGTTGGGACAAAAGATTATATACTAATATCTGTAATTAATCTATTCTAAATCTAAAAAAGGAATCATTTATCTTTCTGATAATATGCATCCATTATTTTGATAAAAAATTAACAAGAGATCATTTTTATAACAGTAAGAAATATAAAGTTTTATTTTCTTATTCAAATAGCAGAAATGACAGAAAAAGCCTGTGGGAAAATGGAGAGATGTCAGAAATAAAAGCTAAAGGTTTAAAGAAAACCAGTAAAATTTTATTGATTATGAAGCATTTACCAATAACTATGAGTGTTTTAATTTAAAAAATGACCAGTAACTCGGACAAGACATTATGAAATGTAAAATATGCTAATCTATTTGGAGATAGGGTAATGATGATGCCATTTAGTCTTTTCCCACTGTTATAAAAGTGATTGTTTTGGTTAAATCATATAAAGGAATTCCACTCGAGGTAAACCACATTTTCCTATCTGAAAATCATTGTGGTTTGGATATACTTAAGAGAAAAACTCTTTTGAGAACTTGTTTAATGTCAAGGCAGAAGATAAAATACATATTTTTTGTGATGGAATTTTGGAAAGAATATTTTTTGGAAAGCCTAAATTTCAATAAGAGTATTGGTTAAAAATATGGGCTTGGCTGCTAAAGAAGATGGAAAATAATGAGTTATTTCTACTTAAAGCCTGTGTTCTGCTGCAAGTTTGTATATATCACTTGTGAGTAAATAAGCAGGTCGCAGCTAGCCTCAAGAGCACTGCAGAACCATTTCTCCTGGTTGATTTCTTTGGGATTTTGTTTGTTTGTTTTTGTTTTTTCGAGGCAGGGTTTCTCTGTATTGTTTTGGGGCCGGTCCTGGAACTCGCTCAGTACACCAGGCTCGTCTCGAAGTCACAGAGATCTGCCTGCCTCTGCCTCCCCAGTGCTGGGATTAAAGGCGTGTGCCATCAATGCCTGGCCCTGGTTTATTTCTTATCCACACGTTTGCTTTGATCTGTAAGCTGACTTTTGTGCTTTGAATTTACTTACTTTTCCTCCATATGAGCAAAACATCAGCTTTGTTTCTGTTGTGTAAATAGTGTGTTTATTAGTATAGAAAAGTATTTCCTAATCATTTCATAGTTTTTAAAGTATGTTGAATTTACTCACTGGCTCTGATTTACTATCAGTAGCAGTGTGTTCAAATTCATATGTCATGATGACACAATGAAGTCTTCTCTGCACAGTAGTGAAGTGTTGACTTAGAAAGCCCATAACTCTAGAGTCAATCATTTTTAGTAAATACTAAAAGTAGTAGTAACAATAACTAATTACCCCGATATCCTTAGCTATAAATATTCTATTCATACATTTATATATATATATATGTTTATATATATAATTTATATAGATATAAATTCATTCATGGACTAGAATAAAGTTATTTCCTGTATTCAAGCAACAACTTTTTTCAAGTTTGTTTCATTCAATTCTTAGTCTGTTACATTCCGAATCTGTCCCCAAATCCTTAGTGAAAAGTGTCCAATTAAAATTGTAAGACCTTGACTTTCTGTCCCATTTTCTTGGTTGCTTTTAGTTTAATGCAAAATACCACTTCGTGCTTCATGTCTACTTTTTTCCTGAAATTCAGGATAACACACTTTGCAACACTTATCTCTACATATATTCTCCTTTGTCTCTTTCAGCGATTCTTAACTTCTCAGTTCTTATTTATTGGAGTTCACCACTTTACACCATCCATCTTCATGATTTCAGATAAGATGTTTTATTTTTAATGACATAACATGTTTCCCTAACCCACTCAACACTTGTGAGTTCAGGATCTATTTCAATGTGTTATCCACATTTTGGGGTGAGGATATTGTTCGGTGATAGAGTCAATGTCTACCATGTACAGGACTTTAGGTTCATTGCCAAATCAGCATCATTATAGTAATTATCCACATTTCCCTTTCCTATAATTATTTCACTAACATAGGAAACAAATCAAAATACAGAAGACTTGCACAATAATGGTCCAGTAATTAGTGAGTCATGCTTGGGGAAAGGTTCACAGATCTAATCCCCAAAGAGGATCTCAATATTTACATTTACTTTTTTTTTTGTCTGTGTGTGAGTGTGTACACCTGAATCTAAGTGCCATAGGAGGCTAGGTAGCAGATCTTCTGAATATGCAGTCATTGGTGATTTTGACAAACACAGGTCGCTGGAAGAGCTGCAAGAGCTCTGAAAGGTTGAGAAATTTCTCCAGTCTTCAAACCCAGATTTGAAGGCAGTAAATAGTTAGTGTGGGAGAATAGCTCACAAGCTTACCATGTCTCTAGGTGGAATATTATCAGTTAATTGTTGCTGGTGGAAGGACAATTGTTTTCTTCATGATATAGCCATTGGAAGGTTCATGTGGCTCTGTAAATTTCTCTCATGCATACTTCTACAAGCAATCCTAGTTAATCTTGTTGAATAACTCCCCAAATAAAGACATGAAACCAGAAGGGAACTGACCAGGAAGAGGAGGGGGATTAACAGTAAGTGTGAGGATATTAAAATGATCAAGACATTTATACACATAAGAAAATGTAGCAAAGAATAAAATCAGTTAACCAAACAGTAATGTGTTAGAGTTCCTACCTTAGTCATTCCATAGGGAAATCTTCAAAGTTTCATAATCAGCTCACAATGTCCCATCTGCCTGGTGACGTGCTCTTTTCCTGGTTGTATTGGTGAAGCCTATCCATCATGGGATGATTCAAATCTGGGACTGAACTATAGTTCGTCCTTGTAATCTTATATTGAAACAACAATCGCTGTTTTCTTCATTCTCTCTTCCTTATCTGATATTATTTCTCAACACAATCACCTCTAATGAGAATTTCACATAATTTCCTTTTCGGCTTGCCAACCAAATTTATTTATTCATTCATTCATTTACTTTTGTTTCTTCTTTTCCGTTTAACATTTTTATTTAAATTAGAAGCAATCTTATTTTACATATCAATCCCATTTCCCCCACCCTCCCATTCTCCCATGCCTCCCACCAACCTCCTCACCCCCCCTCCCACTCTCTATCCACTCCCCAGGGAGAGGGAGGCCTTTCATGGGGGAATCATCAAAGTCTGTCACATCATTTGGGGAGGGGCCTAGGTCCTCCAGTAGGCTGAAAGTATCCCTTCATGGAGAAATGGGCTTCCAAAGTCTATTTTTGTACTAGGAATAAATATTGGTTCTATTTCAAGAGGCACCATAGACTGCCCAGGCCTCCTAACTATCACCCAAGTTCAAGAGGCCTTTTTTTTCCCATTCTGGTTCCTCAGCTATCTGGCTGGGGTGAATTTTACATACTTTTACCAGCTATCTATTTTATATTTTTCTTTCTTAACATATTCATCCTTCACATATTTTCAGGCTGCGGTATTATCTTTATAATTTCAGACCTCATTTTTGACAAAGCACTTGCAATCTTGTCAAAATATCCTTCTTTAAAAATCTCTCTCAACATTACCTTCAACCACATTCCTGTTAGCTCAAACTTCTTGAAGGTCAGTCATTTTTCCACATTTCCTGTTATACTGAGATGCCTCTTGTAATCCACCTCTAGTTAAGACTCTCGTCTAGTTGAGTTGTTCTGTCTTGACTAATAACCACTTCACTTCAAGAGTCTGCTTGGCTTTTATGAATGTTTCCTAGCACTACTCAGATTGTCTAAGAACCCTCATCCTTTCAGAAGAGTTACCATGGCTATGTTTGAATGAGTGCCCTCCTCATTTCTCATTGGAATTTGTCATCCAAATAGAATTAAGTGGTAGGAACATTAAGAGGACATTTTGTGAATACTTCCTGAATAAAGTGATACTATTGTCACAGGGACAGTGTCTTAGTGCAGGGCAGTGGTGGTGAATGCCTTAAATCCAGCACTTGCAAGGCAGAGGCCAGCATGGTCTACAAAGTGAGTTCCAGGATAGCCAGGGCTATTACACAAAGAAACTCTGTCTCAAAAAATAAAAACAAAGCAAATAAACAAAGAATGAGTGTCTTAGCCTGTTTCTATTGCTGTGAAGAGACACCATGACCAAGGCAACTCTTATAAAGGAAAACATTTAAATGGGGCTGGTTTATAGTTTCAGAGGTTTAGTTTAATATCGTCATGGAAGGAAGCAAGGTAGCATGCTGGCAGACATGTGCTAGAGAGTTACCTGAGAGTTCTACATCTGGATCTATAGGCCATAAGAAGTTAACTGTTCCCCACACTGGGTACAGCTTGAGCATATATGAGACCTCAAAGCCAGCCCCCACAGTGTTACACTTCCTCTAACAAGGCAATACCTACTCCAACAAAGCCACACCTCCTAATAGTGCCACTCTCTATAGGCCAAACATTCAAACACACAAGTTTATGGAGTTCATACATATTCAAACCATGATAGAGGTTTGCTATAGAAAGGAAATCTCTCTATCTCTATCTCTGTCTATCTGTCTCTGTCTCTGTCCCTCTCCTCTCTACAATCTGATGGGGACAGATCAAAAACTGTCTTACCAGATATAGCCTCCTAATTTTGGATTCCTAGCATATGTAACCATAAACAATATATGTATACAATTTATTAATAAGTATAATTTATTAATTACCCATTTTGTGATGTTTTGCCTTTTAAAAACAAGAGACTAAATACAAACACTATCTCAAATATTACGCATATTGTATTCTTTATTAAGCTGTGTATATTAACCTAGGAAAGCACTTTTTGAACTCCTATTATGTGCTACTATCTCATCATACAATGCTTGATATCATAAATTATTCCTTCCAAATGTTGTTCTAGATAGAGATGCACTAGAATCATCTTTATACTATAAATATATAATATGCATCACATAAACATTTGTGTGAATGATTTATTTTATTTTAAAACCAGTAATGTCTATATCGCTGAGTAGTTAAGGAGAAAAAATGACATGCTAACTGACTAATCCAGCTTTAACATAGATAGGAAGTGCTCAACAGATGGTAGCTATTAATGATAATAGCAGTATTAATGCAGAAAATGATAAGACAAAATGAACTAGAAACATTTACAAAGAATGTATTATCTGCAAAATTAGTCATGATAAAGAGATAGAATACTTGATTGTTTTGTGTGAAAAGTGTTCAGTATGTAGAAATATTCTCATATAGTCATAAAAACCTTTTCTTGGGTGATGTCAGCAACTACTCTAACTACTCTATGTATATTACTATTTTATTGTAATTCAATGTGACAATTAAGTTTATCAAGAACAGTGAAATTTTTATGTTCCTATCTCAAAAGGTCATTCTATGAATTGTTATGAAAGAAATTAATCCTCCCCCCAAAAATAAATTATAACTACAAATTTGTTGTACTTACCCAAATCTTGAAATTTCTTTCTCTGGACTGGCCATAAAACTCCAGCGTTGCCACGGCAGGTTCTGAAAGAACACACCCAAGAATCTTCATTATCCACTCCAGTATTTCACAAAGTTCCGCTGTGTCCAGCTTGTGGCTTGATCTCTTGCCCACAGGAAAGGTGTCAGTGCAGGCTGATTGGTTTATTGTCATTTTGATGAAGAATGACAATAGCTAGAGACCACTGATAAGGGCAGAGTTGGCTCTGATTGTGTCTCTCAGGTGAGAGAGAGGATACAACCCACACGCACATACACATACTCACAAAATCCTACACAAAAGAAAATAAAACTAAGTAAAAACTTTTAAAAAGAGGAGGAAAAGTCACAAAAGAAACGGCAGAAGCAAAGTATTATGTAGAGATCCAAGCTATGAAACTCTCAAAAATTTAAGGGTGAGGAGAAACTGCACATGATACACTTACTTAACACATACTGTGGAAGAGATGAGGGAGGTGAACCTTAAGGATTGATTTCATTTCAGGCGGAAGTATAAACAAACAACTTTCTTGTGGTGGCATTCTGGTGGATTTAAACCTAGTCACCGTGCACACTTGTAGGTCATATAGTGACTGAATGACTGAGTAGGCCATGCCCAAGTATGCATATTAATGAGGTGAGTGAGTAGTTGTCTCATAGGTATCTGGTCAGCAAGAGCTGGATATTTAGGGCAGATAAGGACTGGGCACTATGAAAAAGAGTACATAGAGAACTGGGAAGTGTTCGGGGAATCTAAACCCTACTTCTGGGATGAGAAAGGCCAACTCCTATTCAAAGTTGATTCTGATGAAATAAAGTATTTACAACAGAGTCTTTTTTTTCTTATCACACTTTAACCTTCCTTAACTAACTCATTTCAACTACAATGTTTATACGCTTCTTTGTAAAGAGAAGCTTTTCCTTTGCTAGCTGCTTTGGTTTATCCCCCGCCAGCCGCCTGGGCTCTGCCGCATTGTAGTCCCCAAATAACACACAAGACGCTGTATTAATTATGAAGCTGTTGGCCTTGCTTGTTTCTTACTGGCTAGCTCTGACTTAAGTAATTACCCCATAATTGTTAATCTAAGCATGTCTCTTACTGGAGAATAGTTCCGGGCTTCCTACCCCATGGCGGTTACATCTCGAACTCCTCCTCGTGTTTCTCCTACCCAGAGTCCTCCTGGAATCCTAGTCCCTCCTATCTAGATTCCCTATTGGCCAGACAGTACTTTATTGACAAATGCACAGGACTTCCCCAACATCTCCTCTTTTCTGTTTAAACAAAAAGAAAGGTCTTAACTTTAGCATAGTCAAATTATATATAACAGAACAGTTATCAAATAAGAACATAGTTACAATATTTTAGCAAGATTTAAAGAAAATATCATCCATCCCATCCTTGTGAGTCCAAAGTTCTATGTAGCTTATCTTTTATCATAACTAAGGAAAACTGTGACTATAACTATCTGTCTTCAACTCCATCAAAGACCACAGAAGGATAATATATAAACACTAGGATTGACAGAGACATCTTACTGCCTGGACAGTCACCCGAAGTTCCACTGTAACGTTGGGGCATCCATCTTCAGCCCATAGGCCACAATGTATCCAGAAGATTTCTCAGCCAAGCAGGAAATTTCAAAACTGTCCATCTGCATCAGCAGTCTGTCAGTCATTTTTCTTGGTCCTGTAGAAAGTCTAGTAGACTCTTCCATGAATCAGGAACCCTGTAAGACTGAGTTTAGCAGTCACTTTTCTGTGGGTCCTGCATGTCCAGATTATACAACAACAGTCAAACAGTCTAGGCAAGAGCAGTTTCTTGCCCAAATGGCTAATCTTGCCATGTTGAAAGCAAACTCCATAACAAGTTTCTTCGATGCCCATCTTCCTCTCAGACATAATTGGTGCTGCCAGGAGCAGACATTTCTCGTTGTCAAGAAAACCCTAAACCATTTTAAATGCCATTTTCTGAAGGTCTTTGAAAGTTTTGAAGACTGCCTATCTATCTCAAATATATTTCTGTATATCTAGAAAACCTAACTTACCTAATTATAAATTCTAACTATTATAAGTAATTATCTATAGTCTGTATTCAATTATGCATTACGTTTTAAAAGATCAGTATAAGCACAATACTTAATCAAGAGTAGAAGTATACATGTCACAAAATTGACCTTGAATTTGTATCAATAAATGAAAAACCATACCCATAACATAATTCCCCTTTTTACCATTAAAAAGAGATTGGTTGTGCTCATTAACCAATTATAAATAATCCCATTTAAATGAAAACAAAGATTTATAAACAAGATGGGAATTAGGACGTCGCTCATTCCAAACTGCTTCCTGCTGGAAGGGGGGCGCTGTTCATACCATGGGGATCATGACAAAACTCAGAAACCTGTATAAGTCCTTATTTTCAGGGTCTGTAAAGCTGCATCATCTTAGCTGTCTCAATTGTTGGAACACCTGGCCCACTGCTTCCGGGGGTCTTGGTTCATCAAACCACAGAAGCCTGGAAGGAATCCTCAGGTTTTCATTTTCTGTAGAATCATAAATAAAAACTCCTTTTCCAAGTAACATATCCTTACACTTAAATTTTGAAGTCAAGGCATTTTTAAAAGATAGAAGTTGGATTAATTCAGCAGCATTTATAATCAAGTGTACTTTAGCAGTTCCTTCCTGAGTAATCAAAAAACTGAAAAACACAATAGCATACAGTATCCAGACTCTCTGTGTATTTTCCATCTTTACGTGGCTTATTTATTTATCTATTATTATTATTACTCTATTTCTTTCACTTTTATTTATTTTTGTCTGAGACAGGGTTTCTCTTTGGAAATCCGCCTGCCTCTGCAGCAAATCTTACTCTGCCTCCCGAGTGCTGGGATTAAAGGCTTGCGCCACCCACACCCGGCTTTTCTATTTTACCACTATGCCTTTTTGTTTTCTCTCTCAATCTTACGTATATTTTTAAACACACTGTAAACCTTTAGAGGTTTTTCTTCATTCAAGTCTTACTTTACTGTAAATCTTTATGTTTTTCTGGCCATGTGTCTTATCTGTAAAACCGCATCTGTTTTAAACTGCCTTTTTTTTTTTTTTCAAGATGGTGGGCGTAAGCATGATTCCAGCTTACCGCCTCAGTCCATACTGACATCCAGCAAAAGCTGCCACTTCCTGCTGTATGTACACACCTTTCAATCGTTAGCAGAGTCTCTTAAAACAACCTTGCTGGGTTTTTTTTCTTTTTATGCCGAGTCAGGAAGACTCCGGTAAGCAAGCCACGTGAATCTCGGCTTGTCGATAGCAAAACAGAGCCCACCTGAGAAAATGCTGCTACCAAAAATCTGTGCTTCTCTGCGTTCTTCTGTTTCTAAAATTCCTTTAAATCTTTTGTTATTTTGCGCGGAAATCCCGCTTCTGACAACCATTCTGTTATGAGAAGCTTTTTCTTTCAGAGGAGCCTTCCCGCCAGCATGGTTCCAGAGCCGCATCAGTCCCAAATAAACACACAGGAGGCTATATTAATTATGAAGCTGTTGGCCTTGCTTGTTTCTTACTGGCTAGCTCTGACTTAAGTAATTACCCCATAATTGTTAATCTAAGTATGTCTCTTACCGGAGAATAGTTCCGGGCTTCCTACCCCATGGCGGTTACATCTCGAACTCCTCGTGTTTCTCCTACCCAGAGTCCTCCTGGACAACTAGTCCCTCCTATCTAGATTCCCTATTGGCCAGACAGTACTTTATTGACAAATGCACAGGACTTCCCCAACACTTCTTTATGTCTTTTTTGCTGTAACTAAAACCCAGTTCTCTTCATAAACCTTAAATAATCATTTTACATACACTGCTTATCTTTAGTTAAGACTTCCTAGAGTGTAACAGATGTTTTCCATTTTTTTTCTGTCAATCTGCTATTGTGGTAGCAGCCTGAATATACACATTCATTTGAACCTTCAGAATCATTGACTACACAGTCATTCAATAATCACTTAGACCCTGTGCTTTTTATATTAAAAAATAATGTTATGTACCAAGGTTCAATATTTGATTTTGAAATTCATATTTAATGTCTACTTCCCTTCAAGACTTTTTCATTTTACTTTTCTCAGAAAATAAATTGTCCCAGATATGAGTTACTAAGTGAATAAACTCAATTCTGTATATGTGTTGATCTCCTGTTACCTGTTCTCCTTAAGTGGGGTAGGGGGGATTTGAAATATGAATAGAGTTAAAGAACCAAAGGTGTTAGCACAAGGATAAATATAACACAGGATTTTTAAAGATATTATCATTAAATTACATAGAATCAAGTGTAGACTGGGGAGTGATTAATGATATTCAATTTTATAACAAATATAATAAAAAGATGGTATTTGTCCAGTTTGTTTATGAGCACTTTTGTTATTAATTACAGTATTTAGGAAAATGAACAATATTCAGTCAGTCAGTATAAAATAAGTATATTTAAAAAATAAATGCTATCTATAAAGGAGAAATATCAAATAGAATCTGGAGTTTGATAGGACCCTCAGACAATACCAAAGCTCACCACAGACCTATAGGAAACTGGAAAATTCTCAAGTGATATTAAACTGATTGCTGTGATACTTCGTAGTCTGACTTTACATTTGTTTAGAAGAAAGGCAATAAAGAAAAGAACACTTTTTCTTATCATTGGGGAGGATGCAAATATGGAGCAATTAGTGAAACCACTTAATGAATTAGGCAGATTTAGTATTTACCCATTAACAAGTAGTGAAAAATAGCACTATATATATATGCCCTCTTGTTTGGAGTAACGTTTTGTTAATATATTTAAGTCAGCACTCTTGGGTTTTATATGAAAAGGAAAATATACATGGCCATAAATGAATTGGGTCAAAAGGAGATTCTTCATATTTAAGAAGCATTTTACCTCCTGGCCCTAAAACTAAAATATAGATTTAACAATTCCTACATTGCAACTCCAGTTGCTGATATATCTATTAAGGATAAGCTGCTAGAGCATGAAAATATTTCTATTATTTGTCACCAAGC